TACTTCATATTCTTGCATGGTAATTTCCCATTTCTAGGACAAATCTTTCAAACACTTATTCACACTCACAACCAGACTTAACTAATGACAATTAGAGGGTGGACAAGGTGAACCTGAAACTCTGTGCACACTATCGTAGTATATTCACTTATATACTAAATTCTCTGTCTATATCACTTTATAGACTTCCTTTTATCTGTCTAATTCTCTTATTAGACCTTCTCTAGTTCACTTACTAGAAATACATATATCTCTGTCTAGTTCTCTTACTAGACTAAATTCACGGGATCTTATAAAGACTGAGTCATATAAAATACACATATAAAACTATAACCTTTCCTAAAATGATCTAGACTTACAAAACCATGGGGGTCATAGATTCAAGGCGTCTAAAAAGACACAGATAATTACTACTTACCACCAATGGTCAGCTAGATCCCTAGATCCCACTTTCTGACACCAAGCTGAAAGGCTAAACTGATGACTCGATCCCTTCTGGTCACGGTTCTCCAACCCTCGATTGTCACCTGAGCTCAGGGAAGAATTAAGGAAGCAGAATAACGAGACAGACACAAGATTGCTTTCCAAAAGTCTTCTGACAATGTATTCAAAATGCTCTGTACTTATACAATATTTGTCACGAACATTGGTTACAGAAAGTTACACAAGATACATAAAAGAGGAAGTACTTTCTGCTGTTACATTCAATAATCTGATTTTACAAAAATCACATGTACATTGTGGTTAGGCATCTCCTGATACATAAAAACTGTCATAGCTTGTGACTTCCTTTGAGTTATGTTTTGTAAGCAGTTCTAAAAAGAGCTTGCTACTACATTTACAAAATAATTCATTTCTACAATACTAACAGATTAACTGTTTCAATTCCTTCAATCATATGATCTTTAACTATCATGTTTCAATTATTCATCTGGGTAATTAGCTATTATGCTCTTATACGTAAGTTTAATATATTAGTTTGTAGGGCAGACTGCAGCTGCATATGGCATTTTAGCAATAATCTTCAATTACGTTTCAGATATTTACAAAGTCTATCCACCTTTGTAATTAACACATTATGTGTTTCTTATACCATTAGTTATAGTATCTATATTATATTACACATTGTCACTGACACATTTCTGATACAGGGAAAAAATAGCATGATTGCTTTAGTAATTATACATTTTCTGTCCATGCACCACATTCCTGGAAGTCCAGAATATAGCTAGAATCCTTTGTCGTTTGATTCCATGGAGCCATTTAACGTTTTGATTGGTATAGTTATACCAAAAGAGCAAGGAGTACGACGGTAGATCGCATCTGCAACAGAACCATTACAGATTCCTTGTTGTATCAGTGTCTCTGTGTTTATGTTTACAGGAGTTCCTTGCTTTGCAGGCATGTACATAATATGTAGAGTTTAAGAAAAGCTGCAAATCGTGCTTTAGTACAAGTGTCCCATGATGTCAGGTTTCTGAAAGGTTTTGCTGGCCTTTTATATTCCATTCTCTTGGCAGGGCATCTGCTCTTAGTAAGCCGGTATTATTATTTATTAATTGCATCAAGGTTTCTTTCGTTAATTGAAGTATTTCTATCGAATTCAAATTCATATGCCACCAAATGTCATTGTAAAGTTCATTGTTACAGAATATTGTTCCAGGATGGTTTTTCACTCCAGTAGGAAATCTATTTTCCTCTTCTTCTGCTCCTTCATTTAACCACTTTTTCTGAGTTGTAGGCAACAATCTGTGTCTTGTACTGTGAGGTGCTTTGATAGTCAATCAG